TTTCTTTAGGAGACAATTGAAGAAGTTGAGGAGATGTTGAATAATCTTCCTGGAGTGACATCTGTTCACAGCCGCTTCTATGATCTCTCTAGCAAGTATTATCAAACAATTGGGAATCATGCCTCTTACTACAAGGATGCATTAAGGTTCCTGGGCTGCATAGATGTCAAAGACCTGCCAGGTAGTGATCCCTTTTCTTTCCCCACTGAATGTGTTTGGCAGTGTAGTGCTAGTAAAGATGTGCCTTAAAAGGGAGCTACTCCAATGAAGAATTTAGTTTTAAAAAAAAACTAACAAGGATGTAGAAATATACATCAAACATCTTAAAGAACAAGGCACTTCTATGAATAGAATGATCAGAGACACTCAGCCTTATTTTTCAAAAGGGTGGGGAATGCACACTGATTGTCATGCCCTTGGTGGAGACTGACTCTGAGGGAGAGGAGGAACAACTGACGGAGTGGAAGTGTGGCTCTGGAGGTTGTGGAGGAGGCTAGGGAAGGACAGAGGCCGGCTGGGCAGTCAGAGGAGAACCCAGGCCCATCCCCTCTCCATCCTAAGGCACGCAGGGAGGAGAGGATAAGGGAGATATGTGGTCTACTGGGGAGGAGAGGGCCTTGATCCTTTTCATGGGCTGCAGCTGTGACAACTGGATAAGAGGATGGACATGTGTATGGGTGAATGCTGGAAACAAAGTGTGAAAATTTCTCAAGTTTATTGTTCCTCTCTGAGTTTGGTGTCCTTCCCAGTGTGTGTTCTGATATCTGTGGACATCTTCAAGCCCTTGCCTGGTTTATGATGTTTTTTACTCTTTATAATTTAAAGGACATTTCCTCCTTGTAACTCCTTGTGTGGGAGTTTTTTTTTGTCTCTAGTCAAGGATATTTGGAGCTTGGAAGCAAAGTGAAGGAATAAAAGGGGCTTCACCTTTTTTTTGTGACTGTGTTTATTTGTATCCCACCCTGGGTCATCACACTAATATGTGTTTATCTTATAAAGTGTTTCAATTTCAGGTTAAATATAATAGATATAAATTGAATTTAAAATAGCATTTATGAAGTTGGGGATTCTCCCGGCTACTGAAATAGGAGAATGAATATGGGATAGTGACTGAAGTAGAACATTTTTCTTTTCAGTGGCAGACCAGCAGGAAAGGGCTTTTACTTTAGGGTTGGCAGGACTCTTGGGTGAAGGAGTCTATAACTTCGGGGAACTGGTAAGTAGAGTTACAGTATCTGAGTGTTAACAGTTGACTTTAAAAAAAGTTTGCTCTTAGTAATATATCTCACTCTCCATCTATAGCTTATGCATCCTGTACTGGAATCTTTGAGGGACACTGACAGACAATGGCTGATTGATACACTCTATGCCTTCAATAGTGGCAATGTGGAAAAATTCCAAGCATTGAAATCATCATGGGGCCAACAGGTTAGTGATTGGCATGACCTGATAGCATTTTAGGAAAGCAATATTTGGATGAATATTTATTTCTGTATAGATATGAATTCAGACAGATATAGATCATTGTAATAGTTCTTATGCAAGGTTAGATTTATTCAGCTGATTAACAAGAGGCCCCAGGATTTTACTGCCTGCCCAGGATTGCAAAATTGGAAGAGTTGTTAAGCATCTTGTGGAACACAATCCATGGTTGACTGTTCTGTGAGCAGAACACACACTGCAAAGTTGGATTGACTTAGAATCAGACTTACATAGTTTGTAAAGGCAAAAGGGCCAAACTTATACCTTAAAAGATAATAGCAGATCACATTTAAATAGCTTGTGAGATGATCAGCTGTTGGCTGCTAGCAGTGCATTGGCAGGAATAGAGTTAACAGTGTCCCTGAGGCCTGGAAGCATTTTAGATGCTTGGCAGCATGTCTTTCAGGATGGAAGAGGCCTTGAAAACCTAGGCAATAACAGCAGATCCTTCCTGGTGGCAGTGATGTTTTGTGTCAGTGGAGTGGTTGTTTTTCAAAAAATGCTGATGGGCTGCACCAATCTGCTTGGCTCTCTACATGTTGTGTAGGCCTACTTTGTTGTACAGTTTGTTTACAATGCTTTGGAATGTGTAGCACTTTTTGGCTCACTAAAGCAGCTGTGCCTTCCTGGAAAAAGATGCAGCTTTAATCGGTTGCAGATAAGAGTTGAATTTACACTCCAGAGAGTTCTGCAGAACCTCTTCTGCAAAACTGCATACCTAACATCCAGAGCTAAGAATTTCCAATAAAATGAGAGAGAGATAATTTGCAAAGACTGTTGGAATTCTTTATTATTAGTCTTCACTATCCCTTCAAAAGATCTATTTTAATCAATCTTGATAGATGCATTTAGAAGTTTAGAATGATTTTGTAGTGTGCTTGAGAATAGTTTTGATCACAGAAGCAAAACACAAAATGAATGGTATTTTCCTGTTAGGTGATATTTTAAAAAAGTAAAGATAATGCAGGCTAACTTTTTGTGATTTATTTTACAGCCAGACTTGGCTGCAAATGAAACACTTCTGTTGCAGAAAATCCAACTACTGTGCTTAATGGAGGTAGGTCCTGCAACAAAGATAGCACTATTGCTAGTTATCTGAATAACTTTTTGGTGAAAAAAAATATATTTATTTTGTTAACTGACATTACTATTTGGAAACTGTTTTGCTTATCACTGAAATTTCTTTTTTTCCCCACTTTTGTGAAACTAAATTATGGTGCAAAAAGAATGGCTGTTTCTCACGGTGATTGAAATAAATGGATTTTAAGGACACCAGTTAGTTTCTTAGTAATACTTATATTATGCTTACTATCCTACCATATACAGTATGTCATTCAATTGAATCACATTCTGTATTGACTTCTATTTAATACTAGTGGGGAAAAATCATTTGGTATATCAGTCTTAATTGTTGTTCAAAACAGACCACAAAACAGTATAAAGGAAGCCATTATATGAAATATTTTTATATGGATTGATTGTTTTTAAATATATACTGTATTAAATGTTAATCACAAGCTGCTTAATATCAGTTAATTTAAGTTTTTAATTGAAATATTGCTTTGAGGGGGTGCACTTTTTGAGATTATATGCCAATTATATAGCTCTCATAATAAAATATACTTTTTTTCTTAAAGATTCTATCAAAAATCTAGACTGCTTTACAGTCAATATCTTGTACTGAGGTCAGCAAGGATACCGTATTTGCCGGCGTATAAGACGACTGGGCGTATAAGACGACCC